GGTCTCAGTAATGGCATATATATACTGAGGTGGAATTCCAACCCAGTGGGGATGTTTCTCCAACTAAAGAAGGCGTGTAATCAATGAAAATAAGTGGTAAACCATGTAGAAACATCGACAAAAGGATTTGTGGAAAATATGTCAAAGCTATTTTTCTAACAAGCATAATACTATGATCAGCACATAGGTATTGCCTCCAGTGATCTTTATGGGGTTTGCTTTGTTGTCCTGATAGATCTGCTCAGGCTTTTCTCTGGTTGAGATAAATAAGAGCTTAGAGGCATGTTTAAATATGGCTTCTTCTTTTCCTTTTTTCCCTCTTCGAAATGGATATCATGGGGGAGGAGGGAAGATGGTTTGCTGATGGAGCAGATATGTGCAAAAGAAAAACAAGCTGGATGCTCTCCATGCTGATGATCGTGATCAGAGAGTGATGCAACGCTCGGATGATAAATGTTTGATTATCAGCTGATGGGCCCTGAAGTGTGTGTTGGCTACTCGCTGAGAGGTCACCGAACAGCAAAAAGTAGAATTCTGTCAGCGCACAGAGTATACAGAGGATGGAAAGAAAACATCAGATGATAATTGTTATGCATGATGCCACACGTTTATAGGAAAAAACAAAGATGAGATGTTATAAAAAGCTCTCACTAAGGATGCAACATTTGTTTTTATTCGTGACCAATCTTTTGGTTTTTTTTGGTAATACATCAACTAATCAATAAAATGGCCATCGTGATATCCTTGAGGCTAAAGATGAGGCTTTTGAATTGCTTATGGCTCCGAAATACTTCAAAACACAAAACAGAGAAGCAGCAACAGACTGAAAATGGCAAACAATTTTTTATTTTTTTATTTTTTTTAACTTTAAAGCGAAAAAAACTAAAACCCAAACCCATAGTAGGTATGTCAAGGACATGTGGACAAACACTTGATGAACTGAACACTGAGCCTCCAAGGTTGCCGTAGAGGGCAGGCGGTTCGGGGGGATGGGGAGGGCGTCGCTCTTGTACAGGTTTCCTCTTCCTCACGTGGAGCTTTCCGGCCTGGTATATGGCTGAAGGTGAATGGCATTCACGATGGTAACCATAGTGACTGATGGCCCCTGCTGCTCCGTCCTTCTTCGCGCTCGACCAGGACCTTATCCCCTGGAGTCCCATGAGCGAAGGGCTTTTTTTTTTCTTTTTTTTTTTTATTGCACCTGGGAGATACATTAAGGGCCCAATGAACTTTGACCTTGGGCTTGATCGCCCTGGCAACATGGGACACGAACTATTGTTCCTCTTTAGGAGAACTCGGCTGCAATCCCTTAAACTCTCATAAACGCTTGAATGTATTCGAGTCAAAAGGCTTTGGTTTGTGAGATCTTGTAAAGTCCGCGAGCCCATTCCTTGATGCGTCTGTGACAAATGTCCGTTAATGAAAAACGCTTCAGCGCTGTCCTTATCAGTGGGTTTTGTTATAATGGTAAATTTACACACCTTTGTTTCATTAGAACCTTGTCATTAAGCCTTTCTTTTATTAGCCTTATATCAATAAAAGCCCTTCTTTCATTAGCAGAACATCTCAAAGGCTTGCCTTCATTAGCACAAGGTTGTAAATGCTAGATGCGATTTCATTAGCGGCCTATCTTTAATGAGGAAACCCCCAGCGTGTTTACATTGCTCTGATCCCCCATGATCGCTGGTGAGGTTAATGCTGATTGGCTGTTAGCGGGAGGAAGGTTTGAGCTTGTCCCCCCAAGATTGGATCACGCAGTTATTAAAGCCAATGAGATCTTTGCTGCTCAGAAGTGAAGAGCGAGATCAAACATTTCTGTAATCAAGGTCCTGCTTGAGTAGAAGACATAATGATGCGGCGCGTTCGAGAGGATTTAATGACGAGACATGTACCAACCTCACCAACTCATGTCAGCAGATCCTGAACCTGCATGTACACGTCCACGCACTTTCATCACTTTCTTCAAGGCCCGAGAAGCAAAGGCCTTCACTAAAAACGATTTATCATGCCAACAGGAAAAAGACGGTTACATGCTTCTCAAAATCCAGAATTTCTCAAGTGTTTTTACAGCTGTCAAGCAACTGAATGTTTCATGATTAATTCTTTGTAATTAAATTTCTTTGGGTACGGCTGGGGTTTTAAATTCAAGCTGCGAGTCATTAGCAAATGGGAGGAGTTTTATATAATTTAAAGATGTGTATTTTTATTGAAAATAGCAAAGGAGAAGATTTTTCTTTTTCAGATGCTGATCATGTTCAGGTTCAAACTAATCTGTCCCATTTTCTAGCTCTCCCGTCAAGCTTTAGGTGAAATTCCAGCCCCATGCTTTAGCATTACTCTGTCCCGTGGGAACATTATTCCAGTGGATGGCTTGCAGTGTAGGCCTTTCTTCTTGTGGGGGGAGCTGCTGTCTCCTTAGTTTACTACTGATTTTGGAAAAGTGCAACTTGACTGGGAGGCTGGGCTCATATGTTAATTCCTTAATGTTCAGTGACATTGCTCAGAGCGCTATACCATGTGTCACTGTTTGCCCTCCAACCCCTTTGTACAACCAGGAATGCACTGTGTTCTTGGAGAATTGATTGATTTGGCAAAGATGGAGAAAATGTGGCTGAGTGAGTTGCTTTACTTGACTTCACAGGCTGTATTTGGTCCTCTCACTCCCTTTTTTCCTCTTCCCATCCAGTACTAACAGAGTTTTTCTGCGAAAAAGAACTGTTCTTTGGAGACCAGTAAATTTTCTGCTGTACAGATGATGAAAAGATGGAGTGGTTGATTTGTTCTGATGTCCCTTTGTTCAGCAATTTTGTCTCAAAAGCTTAAAGAAGAAGGCGAATGTACGATTTAATTAGTCTTTCTTTTGTAGTTTATGACCTGATTTATCCTTTGTTTATGATTTATAGTGTGTCAAAAAGACATAAAAGTCAGTTCTGTCTTTACTTTTTCACTTTTTTTGGTGCAATTTCAAGTTTATGCACAACACAATAGTCGGTATCTGGATTATATTAAATGTTTGTATACCAATATTGCAATATTTAATAACTTGAATTATTGCATTGGGGTGATGACAGAAAGACATACAGAAAAATCTCTCACTTTGGCAAATCACATTGAGATGATCTCAACTGATAGATGGCATCTAAGCTGAGAGTAAAAAAAACACTTTTGATTGTATTTCGGGGTGAACTAATCCCATTAGATTGACAGCTTATTAAGAATTTAATCACACGCACACATCGTCTTGATTGAAGTCCAATCAACTTAAGCTGTTGCTTTGCAGAATCATCAACATAAACTGTCATTACATTTCATTCATGCCTTTCCAACTGTTAATGATCCCAATAAAACTGTGTTTTGAGAGGCCTCTCTGTTATTCTGAGATTTCATTTTTCAACATCGAATCACAACAATAGCATTATTAAGCTCAATAAACAACTTGATAAATGATATGTGGAGAAACATGTTTGCTTCTAGCTTAATGAGACAGTCAAGATGCCCTCCTTGTCCGTTTTTTTTTTTTAGAAAAAACATTTCCGATGTTGGGGATGATCTCAGTCTGCGAGTGTTTGTGCTTGCTGGTCCAGACTTGCTTTGCCTTGCCAGTCTCTGCTTCATCTGTAATACTAATCAAAGCTTTGAAGAATGCATCGAACATGAAAGCCCCCCCCTCCTTCTTCCTCACATGTCTTCATAACTGCACATGCACATGGCACACACTCACACTCGCACACCCCTATGAGCAGAAAAATATCAGCATCCCAGACAGCTTATCATGGGGAACTAATTCAATATCCCTTTGCCTGTTTTAAATGTCATTCTCTGAGCTCATCTGGAGTGACATGTTTTTCATGGTGGAAATAAAGGAGCTTTATTGGACTCAGAACACAGTGACGGGGGGCTGGGGGGGCTCCTCTGCCTGCTGCTCTTAATGTTTGCTGGAAATCCAAAGGTCCTCATAAGGAGTGAATGAAGTTTGGATTTGCAGAGGTCTTGCGATGCCAATGAGATTTGCATGAGCCCCCCCAGTCGATAAAGATTGAGCGACTCCTCGTCTGACTGAAAAGTGCACATACAAGTTTCCACTTTAGCTAGAAGCTTCAGTCGTGAAGCAAAATGCTGCTCATAAACCAGTTCGAATCGATCTAGGGAATAATCAAGACTTTCAAAAGACAGCTTTGTTAGAGTTTGTGCCACTAAGTTTGGAACTTTTGTAATTTATCGTTTGAATGTGGTTCTTTTGGCTCCAACATCTGGTTGTGTTTACTTATTGTGTCCGTTCTCCCATCAATTTTTGGGTATTGGGATAATATTAGAAGGCTATAATTCAGGAAGTATTTCTCGGTTTAGGTTTGTTTGTTGCCATTGCTCTTTGCTGGATGATGTCACTGACTGGTTAGTGCCTGTCTGGAGGGGGTACAACCTCCTCAGTTGCCTCATTGTGTCACATAATGACTTCCCTATTGAAAATGACCCCCGTGACCCAAGAGACAGACAGTAAGACGGCCTCATCCAGCCCCTCGAGGCACCCTCGGCCTACTCTGGCATTTTGCCTACACAGAGCTCGCTAACCTCGGTCCCGTGCCCGAGCGCCTTTTGCCTTCCACGAGGCCAGCCTTATCTGGCGCCCTGCGCGATCCACTATCTGAAGCCCTCAACCTGGATCCAGATGACACAGCTGACACGAGTGGTAGGCTGGTGCGGTGCCACCAGAGAGGAGGTCAGGTTGAGGTCCAGCTGGCTGCAGAGCTGTAAATGTGAGAGGTTGGCAGGGTCTGACGGTGGCACAATGCTGGCGGAAATCTTTTCAACCCGTTTGCTCTTCAGTGTCAAACCGAGAGCTCCTAAAGGCAAATTCTGAGTTTCACAGCTGGAGTTGGCATCTGTTATACTAATGTTTAGTCGTGTTTAACATCCGCCGCCTAGAAGCGATTATTTGTCTCTGCTTCATTCAACCCCCGTATCCTTCCTCTCTAATTCTTCTTCGTCTTCTTTGATTACAGGGTTCTTGAAGCCCCAGTGCTCGTTGGCTCCTCCCATGCAGCGAGGCCGCTCCGGTGAGGCTTGTTCCTGTTTCAGCGGAGTGTGTCCCCTCCATCAGCGGCGCCTGTCCTCAGGTAACACTGACTGAGCAAACAAACCTGTTGCTACTTGGTTTCATGGGGGTTCTTGGGTAAAATATGGGGGAATGCACTTTCTCCTGTGCTCTACCAGGTAAGAAATGCATTTGGGATTCTGTATCCATAGTAGCAATCGGATACATTCATGAATGGATCGGCTACAGGTTAGCAACAGGATTTTATTCTTATTTTTTGGGGGGGAAAAACTTAATCATGAGGGTCTTGTTATTTTGAAGTGTACCTCATGACCTGATGCACCAATGGAGACCGTCTAATTATCCAAAATGGCCTCGCTTCTCTTTAATTTAATCTGTTTTCCTGACATCAAAGGCAGATCAAAATGATGTATTTCAGAGATCAGTGCTGCAGTTAGTTCAGTTCAGATGAATCACTGTTTCTCATCCTAACTGCTTAACAAAATGAAGAGTACACACATCAAACAAATAATTCTACTTAAACAAAATCAGTGGTTTTGACGGTCATTTATTTAACTGGTTTTGTCATAGGGAGCGGAAAGTATTGCTTGTTTCTGCTGCACAAATACATGCGAACCCCCACCGCCTCCGGTCAGAGGTGTGGCTGGCTGGGGAGGGGAGGGGGCCCTTTTTTTTTTTTTTGAGACAGCGTTCAGTGTGCTGTTTATGATTAATGGTGTCTTTGCATGTGGAGCCCCCAGTGATGGACAAGTTAACAGAGGTGCTCTAAGACCTGCCCCCTTCCTCCCTGCACCTCAGCCCGCCCCCTCGTGCAAGCAGAGTCTGACATGAGTGGATATTCTTGCACTGCTCTGTCTGGTATGTGGCTAATGAATAGGGGTCCAGGCTGTGCAGAACATGTGGTTATTGTTGATACATTTATCATCCCATCCCCAAGGCCTGCAAACTTCTGCAGCGTCAGTGCTGTGACCAGCTGAGCTGCCTGTCATGTGAGGGGAGCATGACTTGTGTG